TATTACTCCAAGCTGCCATTCACCTCCCTAGACCTCAGAGAATACCCAATAATCCCAGCATGGGGTAGAGCACGAACCATCACAACCCTGTTACCCTAACCCTCACTGCCACTCACCCCTTTATTCTGGTCCCCCAGGAACTATGTGTCTGCTCCAGGCATCCTTTTACCATTGTCTTGTCTTCTGCAGAAAATTCCGCTCCTAGAAAGGGCAAAAGAACATCCTCCATTCTCAGCAAGAGCTGTTAGGAAGGTCGTGAGCTCCCCTTGGCTCTGAGGACTCCGGCTAATGACAGGAAACAGAAGGGAACAGAGTATCGGATATCACAAAATGAGCCTGGGAATCATGAGACAAACTGGGGGAGTAGAAATGAAAGAGAAATGTGACGGTGTCCCCTGGAGCTGACCTGTGAAAACCCTGGTTTGCCCGGGAGAAGGTGTTGAACCACCCATGATTAATCAGGGAAAGCTCAACAGATGTGGATATTGGAGATGAGCTGCCACAAACTCAGCTTAATGAGAAGTAGTAGCCCTTAAACTCTGGCCTTGGGGAACATTTTTGTTTAGCTTTCATTTCTTCAAGCTTCAAAATCGGGTCCTGGGGGCCCTGAAGTGGTTCCGCTTGGTTTTCTGTTGTTGCTGTGTTTTTCTTGCTTGCTGTTAATGAACTGGTGGAAACTCTTTTGGGAAAGCCAAAGTGCTTTCCATGACTAGAGTCAGGGTGGCGAGGTGGCCCCTGTCTTCCTTCAGGTCCCTATGGAGTAGAAGAACTATGCTGAAGCCAGAGCAAGGGAGGGAGGAGAATTCTGCCCTCCAAACTTCTGGGCATACAAAGGAAGGAAGGAACAGGGGCTCTGGGCATTCCTGGTGGACTTCTATTCCTGCTATACGTGCCACGCCTGCCTGGCGTGAAAAAGGTGGATTGGAATTACTGAAGTTGGGGGTGGTGATGCTATATGGGTCTAACCTTTATTTACCTGAGCTACCTGCCAGATCTAGTACAAAGGTGCTGCAAAGCCCAGGGAAGTCAGGGATTTGACCTCAAACTTCTCTGTTACAGTGGATGAATCACTTCTATCCCTGCAGAATTTTTCCTAAGATGCTAAACACAGGTGTGAGCTTGGCAAGCTCTCAATGACCTCTGAGTGAAAGTAGATCTTTCCTGTTAGAAACCTGTTGCTGTTCTAGCACAGAAATTCAGCAGGCCACTTGAAAAGTGATATGGGTGCTGACTGAACAGGACAGGACAATGAGAAACAAAGAGATAGCTGCAAGATTTCACATTAACATTGTTTTGATATTTCAACTTCTAAATGGAAACCTTAGCCGGGCTTGGTGGCACATGCCTGTAATCCCAGCACTTGGGAGGCTGAGGCAGGAGGATCGCTGTGGTTCAAGACCAGCCTGGGCTACATGGTGAGTTCCAGGTCAGTCTCAACTATACAGTGAGACCCTGTCTCAACAAACAAAACAAAACTAAACTAAACTAAATGGAAACCTTATTTGCTACTTAAGGTGATCCACATGTCTATATCTGACTTAAGAATGAATGGAGTAGCAAGGACCTGGCACAGCAACTGGAGACAGCAGTCAAGTTGCCAGGACGACTACATTTCCTTTCCTTTTCTCTTATAAGGTGCTGACATAATAAAACAGGCAACGTCCATGAGAAACCTTGGGCTCCTCATGCAACATAAACAAGTAAGCTGAAGGAAATAGATCAGAACTAGATTTCTGCTTTGTTACATCATCATGAAGATGAAACAAATCAAATTACCAAACTGCAATCACTTAATCCACATCTGACATATAAATTTTTATCAATAAATGTTAGTTCTGTTGTTCTTTTCCCTGTAAGGGGAGGTGACATGCTAGCAGAAAAGCTGCACCATAACAAAGTTTGAGGACCAAGGATTTTTGTTAGAGAGTAGCTCAGCATCATTGAGTTCTTAGAAGAACTAAAGCTGAGAGTTCATTCCTTGGGAATCACTTCATCGTGTTCAACAGTGACATTAGAGTACCCATGAGAGTATGAATTAGCACAGATATGAATGAAAGTTCAGCCCGTGGACAAAGAAATGCAACCTCATGAATTTCCCCACTGGGGTAAGAGGATATCTCAGAATTTCAACTTAAAAGCTGATAATGATACCTGACGTTTATTGAGCATTTTCTGCATGCCCAATGTTCTATCTTCTTTATAGATGTCATTATTTCCTCCACTTTGATGAAGAACCTGAGCCAAGACCCAGCCAGTCACTTGCTGCGGGCAGTTAAGCAGTGGCAGAGAAGCAGGTCTGGAAGGGAGATAAGTCTGTGCACTTATCTACTGAGGTACAGATCCTACCTTCTGAGACAAGCCGAGCCAGGACTGCTCTGTCTCTTGCGCCAAATAAACGAGGCCTTGAGAAACTGCTGAGCGGTGACAGTCACAACTCAGGGACGGCTGCTGCATAGGAAAAAGGGCTGCCAGACAGCTGCTTCGTGATCCAGTGGCCTCTTGTTCTGAGAGCTGGCTTCCACTTCTATGACACGCAGCCCATTTGAAAGCAGGGCCACGCTTCCCGGGATGCAGGCCGCTACCTTGAATACAGAAAACACTCAGCTCTTCATTGCAGCCATAAATTACTTACGGGGATGCAAAAAGCTACGGGTATGGCCTGTCATAGACCTGCAAATGTTCCGGCCTCGTCCCTTTCCCAATCTGTGCACTTGTGCTTTTCCAATAGAACCAGTGAAAAACAGAAGTTTAAACAAAGTTTTAAAATGGTGCAAAATTCTACCTTCTAAGTATCTGTGTGCATATGTGCATATGTACCGCGTATATTAATTTATAGTCAAAAGTCATAGACTCTGCAAAAGAGGTGATTCCTACAGCATTTTACCCATGGAAGAAAAACTCATTTTTGCCCATCGAATAGCAATATTTTAATGGGGCTGGTCTATGTGAATTTAGTAGGCCATTTGTGGAACAGATAAAATATTCTTAAGTGAACCAGGAATGACTCATGTTTTGTAATAGTATTTTGCAAATAGCATCTGTAAGTCCCATGCCTCATCCAAAAAGACTTTGAATGGTTGGCAATTTCAGGACGTCAGCTCCTTTGTGGAAACAAATCCTTTGAATGGTTGGACATGACCGTCTCAATTCAATGCCAATATTATTGAATGAAATGGAAATTCACTAGCACATTTTGTATTTTTACAAATTTTGTTTTGACAATTATAAAGACTTCAATAAAATGCTGAACCAGGACATTCTTCCTATAGTATTGATAAAATGCTGTACTATAGAATTCTGACTACATTCCACGCATACAATTAATGATCATTGTGTTTCACTCACTGACTCATTCATCGAATAAACAGTTATGGAATTGAGAATATATGTTCGGAACTATGTTACCTAGAGGGGTACAAACTGATAAGCAAAAATGGACAGGTTCTCTGTTTTTGGTTGTTGTTTTTGTTTTTTGGGCACCGGGGATTGAACTCGGGTCCTTGCACTTGCAAGGCAGGCCACCGAACCACTGAGCTAAATCCCCAGCCCAGGTTCTCTGTTTTTGGTTGTTGTTTTTGTTTTTTGGGCACCGGGGATTGAACTCGGGTCCTTGCACTTGCAAGGCAGGCCACCGAACCACTGAGCTAAATCCCCAGCCCAGGTTCTCTGTTTTGATTGGGCTAATGGTCTTGAGCAAGGTTTGGCAAAGTTTCATTGAAAAGAGCCTGGTATTTGAAATGCGTGGGCCATGAATCTGTTGCAATGACTTAATTCTACTGTTCTGGTGTGAAGCAGTCATGACACCATGCAAAGGAATCAGCGTGGCTATGTTCTAGTAAGTAAAACTTTATTTTGCAAAAGTAAGGTCCCAAAGACTATAGCTTTTAAACCCCTGGTTTAAAGTGTAAACTAGGGCCAGGGATTTAGCTCAGTGGAGCCACACCTGCTTCAAAAACACAAGGTCCTCAGTTCGACCTCCAGTACTGGGGGGGAAGTGTAAATTAAACTAAATATTTATCAAACCATCTAACAAGTCATTTGCATAGGTGAGTTTGTAAATCACAGAGTTGCAATTGGCATAAAGATCCTGAATAAGAACTGCATTTGACTACAAGCATGAACAATCGATGTGAACAGAAAGGTCAGAGAAAGGAAAATCTGAGCTGAACTTTGAATGATGGGATAGAAGTGCATTTAGTGAAGACTTGAGAGAAGAGTGCTCCAGCAGCATATGGAAAGTCTTGTGATGCAGAGGTATTTTTGCTTTAGAAAGTGGAAATCACATAGTGCCTGAAAAAGAGTAAAAGCCAGCAGACTCTGGTACAAAGTGGAGAGGTGGACAGAGCTTTTCAGATAAAGAACAATGTAACAATGCCAAGGCCAGGGGAGTCTTGTGAGGTCCACTCAAATGGTTGATTCCGAGAGTCTACTTGCAAATGCGGACTGGGAGCCCAAAGCTGTGGTCGTTGCTCCCAAGCTAAGACTAAGCTCTGTGATTCAGTCACCTATCTCAACAAATGAAAACTGATGTCCTTCAGATGAAATACCTGACACTCGCATAACTTAATGGAGGAGCAGTCTATCTTTAGCTCGTAGATTTTGTCCATGATTGAATCGACTCTGCCCAAGGTAGAAATAGGATGGCAGAGGGGCATGGCGGAGGAAAAGATGCTTAATTCATGGTGACCAGGAAGCAAAGAGAGAAGGGAGGGACAGGGGACAAGAATACACCCTTCCAGGTGATGTCCACAGTGATCACCTCCCACCAGGCCCCACCTCCTAATAGGACATTCAGCTGCTGAAATCATCACTGGATGATGGATCATCACTGGATGAATATAGCACCCCATAATCCAATCACCTCCCAGACCCAGGAGACTTGGGAGACATTTCCGATCTACACCATCATGGAGACTCTCCCACGGTGTGGGTTTGCACAGGCCAGGTAGCCGTGGTAGACAAAGGAGAGCATCTTGGGGAGCAATGCGGAGATAGCTGGAGTCTCAGCTTCTGAGGTAATTTCCATGAAATCAGGAATATTCACAACGTAAGAAACTCTAGAGATCGCTTTGATCTGCTCTTTTCACCTGGTGTTTCAAGAAGCCCAGAGCTCTGCAAAAATACTTAGGAGGGCAGCGAGGAGGGAGGGTACAGCAGGCTACCAGGGGCTCCAAACCAAGCTGCTCCAATGTGAACCACAGAAACGTAGGTGAATCCCAGATGCTATTCCACCATAGTGAGGGTGGAAAAACATTTAAAACCTATCGGTCAATGACACTTTCTTGTTTAAGGGTGGAAACTGAAGTTTCTCGAGTTTACCCAACTTGTTTGAGAAGAGACCCCGGGCCCTCTCTTTCCACCTTCACATGGGTCCTGTGGCTAAACCTGGTTGTCACCACTTCAGGTAGTGATTTCCTTATCTGAAAATGATTTTTGTTACACCTGGAGTCAAGTGGCTGAAGTGGGTGGTAGCCAAGTGCTCCCAAGCAGCTACAGAAGCAGGAGGAAATGAAAGCGAACATTAATTGGATTTAAGTGCTGTGATGGCTTAGGTGCCTCATCATATCTTCGTAAAAGTGTAATAGAAGCAGAACCAGATATGCATAGAGCCCAGAAATCTGCTCCGGAAGTTAGAGATGAGATGAAAAGTGAAGAGAGCCAGTCTCCCTCAGACACAGAGCCCAGAGACAGGAAGGTTTTCTGACATCCTTCAGCTGCCAAGGCACCTCTTAGAAAAACCTGGGCTCTGCCTCATGGATCTCTGGTGACTGGCCCTGCGTTTTGCACCCCAAAGCTCAGAAATAGGCACTATTTCCCCAGGCTGTGGTCCTACCCAACGACCTGTAAGTAAAAGAAGTAACTGCAGGCTGCAAACTGCAAAGCAAATGCCTTAATGTGTCTCCCTCAACTGTTATTTCCTGATTCCTAATCTCAAGAGTGGTTCTAGGGCTTCACTTTCAAATGTAAAAGTTGCCGTTATTTTAAAATAGGGTAATTTCTTCTGAAATCACTGGGGTTCATTCTCATCTCTTCCTTCACTTGATCACTTTACGTGTCACCCTGCATGACAGGTGTGGGTTTCATCCTGACCCTTCTCACTCACCCGTGGGATTGAGTATGTTACATCCAGATTTATACCTGTTGCTACACAGGTATAAATTTCTCTACATTTCTTTTCTTTTTTTTTTTTTCATGCCAGCATCAAGAGGAGTCTGATGAATAAAGGAAAAAAATTATCATTCTTGAGGTTTGTCTTGGCTATGCTAAGCCAGGTTTGTTCCAATTTGGAAATGTACAAAATCTAGCTAAAATTCCCCCGTCCTAGGCTCTTGACTTCTACTGGCAAATGTCTCATCAGACAAGCAGCAAAGAGCTCTGAATGCTAAAATGCTCCCAAGCCCTTTTAGCCAAGAACTGATTTAGATCAGTGACTGCCAAAGCACACAGGTGGCCCAAGGAGTTTAGCCAGTTAGCAATTTCTACATTTATATTGCCATATCTCCCTCTTCAACTGGGCATATGAGAGATATCCAAATAGTCTCTGTCATAAAAATCACTGTTGGTGCAAGCTCATAAAGCCCCATGTCTCTGTTTCAGGCTGAGCATCTGCATTTCAGCTTTGCCACTGGCAGCGGGACAGATTTGGTCCTGGCAGCTGGTTTCAGATGTGCTGTGCTCTTCGTCCTTGGTGGGAACGAGATGGAATCACCAGGATAAAGAGCTTGTGCTATTTGGATTCCCTCAATGCAATATTATAAAATATCTGCCTGTCAAATTTTATGTGGGTGGATTATACATTTATCCATTTTTCTTCCACAGCCTGCAAAAAAGAATAAGAAATAAAAATAAACCTAGTTGTATTTTAAAATAATCATCCATGTGGGTGTCCTTTTTTAATTTATGAGGCCAATTTCAAATACGAAAGCTTTAGACTATGGAGAATAAAAGACCGCGTCTGCAGAAAAGGAAGAAAAGACATCCGAGGAGAACTGCAAGCTGAATGAATTTTGAAACTGCAGCTAACGTGGGAAGGGAAACGAGGCAAGTGGGCAAAAAAGAAAAAAAACTACTTTTGAGATTGCTCTTTAAGGGCAGATCCTTCCAGTGGTTACAGAAATATGCGTTCCAGAGAGTGCAATAGATTTACTTATTCGTTGTGCAGCAATCTATCATTTTCTGTGAACATCAAGCTCATAAGTGACATCTGAATGTTCAAATTCTATCACAACAGGGAAGGATCCAGAACACTACTTTTGAATGCAACGGCATACTCTGTGGTAGAGAGGAAAATTCACTAGAGGATTGTTAATGCTGGCTGCTCAAGCTGGCATACTGAATTAATGAAATAATGACACCTACAAATTAAATTCTCAGCACAAGCACTTTGTATACGTTCTGTAAATCTTTTGACTTACAATTATTCTCTTTCCACAAGAGCCTTAAGGGCCAGCAGTATCTTGCAGTCAACTTTGATTAGATTACAACATCTAACTTTTCGTTTACAAGAATTTTGCAATGTAGCTGTTAAACTTATTTGTACACAGTACAGAATATCAGCTTACGTTAGATAACATATAGTAAAAAAAGCAATTCTTAAAACCAAGCAATTCTTATTCTACTACATTTTTCTAATCTTTCCTTAAAATAACTTATAAGGATTGTTACAACATGGAGTAATGACGACAGGTTGATGCAATATTGTGTACCACTTCCTGACTTCACATTCTGTGGGGTCAAGGAGTTTTTACACTTCAGAAATTCACAAATATTGAAAATGATGTCACAAGTTATTATTTTGCAGTTTGCCTAAAGCTAGGGTATTTACCGATAAATTGTTAATAATGCAGGTTAAACTTAGATTTGTGTTTTGGTCATAGACCTTAGATTGTGACCAGCAGAAAAAAAGATTAAAGTTTATTCTCTGAGTACTCAAAAAACATTTCTCAATTCTGTAAAAATGTCACTTAAAAATAAGTGAAGTTCTCATGTATGTCTTTTTTCCTCTCATATTACTTGCAACACAAACTAAAGAACAACCAATATTCCTTTCAAAACTGCACTTATCAACTGCAAAAGTAGATTATCTATAGATGTAAGAATTTTGCCAAAAATCAATGAAAACACTTTTTAATAAACAATAGTATTTAGGAAATTTATAATATAGAGAACTATATATTATTATGTATAAAATTCATTCTATGTATCTTTTATATTAGCAAACATTTATCATGAACTCACATAGGTATATCTGCATGTGTTTTAGAAACCCCAGCACACAGCGAAGGCTCAGAGGCTCCTTCTCCAAGGCCATTCCATGAGTAATCATTGTGCTATCAAAGGTGGGCATAGCAAATAGCATGTATTAGCAGAGGTGAATATTTTTATACCCCAGGAACTCCTGTCTCACTGACTCTCGTGTCTTTTGTTATTTAGACTTCATGTGTTTTTCCTCTGAGATCTCCTGGTTATTTTTCGATAGTCACTGGGAATAATTGGTCTCATAAAACACATAAGCACTTCAACATTACCCCTTATTCCTCAGGTTCTACAATGAAATACACGCAAACTAAACAGATCAAAAGCATACAGGCTTTTAGTCCTGCATGTTATAAAGACTCACTGTTAGCATTTTTCAGCTTCTCTTTTCTCTATGAAATTTAAAATGCATAGATGCACATTTCAATGAAATTATTTTCTTGCTCTTTTTAAAAGAAAAGTCACTTTCGGATGAAGCATGTTTTGTCAGTAGTTCTCTACTGCTGGAGCCAGCAATTAGAATTGGTGCCATGGTCATTTTTACCTACAGCTTCTTTACTGTGTAACAGATATAAAATAAAGCACTTATATTTTGCAGAACTTGGAGCATTGCAACATACTTCACTGCTGTTGTATCTTTTGATCCTCCTAACAGTGGAGAGATATATAGGACAGATCTCCTTTAACCTAACAGGAAATAGAGGCTCAGGAAGATTAAAGGAACTCTGTACACTTATTGCTCTATCACTTTATAATTCAGGTCTTACTTTTCATCATCACAGCCTGGAGTGAAAATGTGAACAAAATTCCTGAGGTTTATTGGGCAAAGCATGGCAATATAGAAAGATTATAGTGTCCAAAGAAATTGAGCAAGAAAACATCCATCAGGAAACAAAGAGCTAAGGAAGGAAAATAAAAAGCATTGCAATAAAAGTTTCCTTCAAGGGACTTTTCACAAAGAAATAAAGATTCCAGCTATCTGCAAAATCCCCAAAATTGTTGACATAAATCCATCCTACAAAGGAGCTTCTTCTTCCATAGTAGAATGAAGAGAATGAAAAGTCATTAAAAATGCTACAGATTTAGCATCTTTGATCTGATAATCTGAAATCTGAAATACTGTAAAATCTGCAACTTTTTGAGTCCCAACGTGTTTACGGAACACTTGGATCTTGCATTTTTAGATAATGAATGCTCAACCAGCAAAATCTATGCAAATGTTCCAAACTGGAAAAAAAAAAGGCTCTAAAATAAAAAACATTTCTGATCCCAAGCACGTCAGATAAGGAATGCTTACCCTATAATATATATTATCTTGAATCTATGGAAATGTAACAGATTTGAGACATTTTACTCAATGTTTTGGGTCCACAATTCATTAATTCCTCAAAATAATTCCATGAAATGGACACTGATCATTCCAGTATATAAGTGAAGAAACCGTGGCTGGGAGAAATGATCAAGTTTCCAAACTTAAATTTGAACACACTTGTTGTACTACAGAACGTACATTCTTTTTTTATTGGTACATTTTAGGTATATAATCGAGTTGCATTCATCATTGGCATCTTGCACCTTTACATGATGTGTCTTGGTTCTTCTATTTTCTCCATTGCCCTGGCCTCCCTTCATCCCCTCCACCCTTCCTTATTTACAGACTTTGTTTCCACTTTTTCCTTTCCTCTTACTTTTTCGTTTCCCTTTTTACCTTTCCCCTACGCCTCCAACTCCCCCTATATCTTTAGAACTTTTCTTCCTGTTACACAATATCCATTAAACATTTTGATCCTTATTTACACTTTTACTTTTTCACACCAGAGAAACTGTATGGTATTCACACACGTGTGTGTCCTATTAATTTCACTTAAGAGCATGGCCTCAGTGAGCATCCACTTAGCTGTAAATATATTCTTAACCTCTCTGGTAATTTACAGATAAAATGAGTTACTTGATGATCTGCTTGAAAAATTCTAGCACTTCCTCTGACCAACGAATGCGTTTACTTGACACGGATTTAGCTCACTCCAGCAGTGGCAGCAGCGTGGTCTTGACCCTGAAGTATCAGCGGGGAGCTCGGTGCACTGGAGTCATTTCAGACTAACACAGGAACCCAGTTCTGCCATAGACTGGCTATTGTCAATGTGATCTCTGAGCCCCAGATTCCTTGGGCTTGTGATGTACGCCCTTTAGAGAGGGCTCACAGGGGTGAAACGTATGAAATCGCTAACTGTGGAACTCCGGAGGTGCTTGAATGGCAGTGCGCCCTTGTACATTTTGGTCTTGCGTCATATGGAGGTTCACACCTGGATGGAGATGTACACAGAAAGGGAGAGGGAGATCTCTGGGGCTTTCTGTATTCCGCACCTCAGAAGCATTGAGACGGCACTGCCGAGAGTAGATACTTACCTACGCCCAAGCAAATGTGCGCATCTGTCAGCATTCCTCCCCTGCAGACCTCAGGCTTCTGGTCCCTCAAAGACAGTTTCTGAAAGTTATTGAAATAAATTGTTTTGTCCACCATCATTTCTCCTATCTAAAGGGCATTTTCCTTTACTTCATTTCCTCAAGAGCACTCTTGATTTTCTCTGCCTTCTGCTAAGAAAAGAATTTGTCCAACCTAGTAAAATGCCAAAATCAATATGAACATGAATTAACAAGCAGAAATCTAAGCTACTGTTATATCTTGCCTGGATTACTGCTTCGTTTTCTTATTTGGTTTATCGACTTCTAGGCCTACCCCACTCTACTTCATCCCCATGGGGATCTTTCTAAAATTCAAATATCTTCTTGCCCGCCACAGCTAGCATCCCTTCACTGACTTCAAAGTAAAGTACGAAGCACTCAGAAAACCTCCCGTAGGCTTTTCAGCTCTAGCGCCTGACCAAGTTTTTGTCTCTCCTCCTGTGTTTTAGTCACGTCTGCAATACTCTTTACTTACATTGAATTATTTGCAGTTTTGCTAATTCAATGTTATTTCTGCCTTTTTCTCTTCTTTCTTGAAAACTAGATTATTACCACTTCCTAGGTAATCAAGACTGAGACGCAAGGGTGACCCTTGATGCTTGTTTAGTTACACAGCCTCTCCTCTTATCTGACAAGGTTATAATTTTTGCTTACTTATCTTCTTCATGTACTAGTTCATGAGTTCCTGAATGATAAGAACTGTCCTTACATTCTTAATACTTCTCTCAAGCTTCACATGTAAGAGAGCACTTTGCAAATGTTTCTTAAATAAACTCATCATATATTGAAATGCAATGCACTCAGATTTAGGAAAGTTATGGCTTGTATCCAGATGTTCCCCCGGAGCCTCATGTGCTCATAGGTGGGGCTTTAGGGAGATGGCTGGATCATAAGCATGCGATGGTGGATTATAGGATGCGATACTGAGATTAAGGGTGTGTGATAAATCGGCTTAGCATATTTCTGGGTGTGAATAATGGAAACCTCACCTTGGATGTGGGTGGCATCAATAAATAGGCTTGTAAGCCTGGATGGAATGAAAGGAACAGAAAGAAGGCTGTTTTTCTGCTTGCTACCTCTTGCCTACTTTGCCATGGACTGTTTTTCCTGTGATAACCCTCTGCCATACCACCCTGCCTTAGATCAACCAACTGTGAACGGAAGCCCCTACAAAGTGTTATCTGAAATAAAATTTATCTATTTAACTTGTTGGTATGGGGTATTGGGTCTCAGGGGAAAAAAATAAGAAAGAAGATGAACATGCAAGGTCATAGCTGTATCTTTATCTATTTCTACAATTTAGAAACAATGGTCAGAAAACACCAGCTGAAGATGAGAAAATGTAAGTTTCAGTCCTACCAGATAACTTTATTGATCCTCACCCATAAAGAGGATAAATATTTCCATTCCACTTATACCACAGAATATACAGTGATTAGAATGTATCTTGTGGTGAATCTGATCATATCCCAGTCAAATCCACCTTTTAAATGGAGGGACCATGTTGGCCAAATGAGGAGAATGACACTAACCGAAAGCACTTAGTTCTTGTCCCTATGCAAAGTGACCAGCTTGAGATTACTTCCATTTTACCAAGGAAGACTGTAGCCCAATGACTAATTGTGAGGGTACACAAGCTTGGCATCTCCAACCAGGGAACCCTCGAGAAATTCCCACTGGGTCTGAATTCTCCACAGAGATTCTTAGAGGTCCACTTCTCCCTCTCTTAATCCTGCTGCCTTCCATTCCCTTCTACACATATTGACTCCAGAAAGTGACTATACTATACTTCCTGTACGCTACTCTGCTAGTCTCTGGAATTCCTTTTATTAAACAAAAAGAATTGTCCTGAAAAGAGGTCATAAGGACACACTATAAAGAGCACTTGTTACACATATAAAATATGATTTTTGCAGGAAAACACAGGTAGAGAAACAATAAACCTTGTATAATCATCTTGGCTTCCTCTAGCTCATAGAAAGGGATACTTTGGTTAGGCAAAGCTAGAACAGATGTATCTTGGCCAATGGTGCAGTAGAAACCATTCCCTACGTTATAATTTGCAGGTCAGTGTGCAGGGACTGAGTGACTACCTAACAAATAGAAAAACAACCTTATTAGAAGGAGGGACTATCTGGTCCCAGGAGCTGGTGTCAGCCTTATCCTTCTTTGAGTGAACTCAGGTCTGCTCATTCAGCTTTCTACTAAAAAAGAAAAGAGGCTCCTCCATATTTGCTTCTCTTTCCACGTTAAAAAAATGGAGATGTTCACTAAGGCTTTATAAAGTACTTCTGAGTTACATAACCATCATGAGGCCTTCTTTTCATAACAGCTAACATTACAGTATAAAACTTCTAGATGTGTTAACTCATTCAGTTGTTTCAACAATCCTACAGGGTAGAAACTATCAGGTCAGTGGGCAGCTGGAAATTAATGAGAAAGAAAGATTCTGCCAAAGTCTTACAGCTGAACTGGCCTTGGTGCCAAGCAGAACCTGGGCTTTAGACTAATCTGCTCCATGATGTCCCAAGAGTTTCATTAAACCTTCCAAAGTGTTTCATAGGAAGCAAAATACAGTTATGATCATGAAACATTCATCAATATCAGTAGATTACATGTGATACTCTAGCACATTACATTATCTTTCAGACAAGGTTGTGCTAATTGTTTCAAAATAGTTTTTGAAACTCTACCTCAATAAATTTGTGGATTTAAAGTATCATGTGGAGAGGAACTATATGCAGATTCTAGGTAACTACAATCAAGGAGGTCTTAGCTAGGCCTAGAAATTTACACTTCAGCAAGATTTGGGGGATGATGTATATGTACATAGATCCAGTCCATTTTTGATGGAGAGAGCCCGATCTAGTGCTTTTTACAGTATTAAAAACATGGGCCACTTAAGTGTAATACTTACTGTCATTTTATCAAAAACAACATTGAACTCTAGACACTGAATTACAATTATTACCTTATTTCCATGGCAATTTTTATTCCCCTTACATTATTTTTATTCACCGTAATTTGTAACAGGAGTTATTTGTGTTCAACATAGGTAAAATATCATATCTATTTGTGCAAGCACTTTTATTCAATGCATCTGAGCCTCACATCAACCCAACCCAGTAGTTCCATAAATTAAGAAATTGAGATTGAGAGAAACGAGAACACTGCTCCATATTATGTAGTTCAAGCACGCCGAACATGCGACTTAGATTCTGGTCCCCAAAACTGAGTATTCGGTATTGTTTTCCCCAGGTCACAATTTCCCCACTCCTAGTCCTCAGATCTGTGGAGTGGTTTCCAGATTTCTAACAGATTACTCAAGTCTAAGTCTTTAAAGACAGTCTGGGGTTCAAAATATTGAGTTCATCCTGCCTTAAATCCACTTTAAATCACAGACATTTTCAGCTCCTCTTCATCTAGAAACAGCAAACAAACCAACTTCCTCTCTGTGGAGGAGAGAGACTGAGTAATTTTGTGGCCATCTCAGGTAAATGGTTCCCATGATCCCCAACCTCAGCAATAAGGGGAAAGAAGGGGGGGCAAGAAAGAAAATATGGAGGAGAAACATTAATGCACTTTTTAGATTAATAAAGCAAAATGTATGTTTAAAATCATTTACCTAAATGTGTCCTAAAAATTACCTGGCATAGGGCCAGGGATTTAGCTTAGTGGTTCTACCGTCTCCCTCGCAAGTGCAAGGTCCCGAGTTCGAACCCCAGTTCCAAAAAGAAAAAAAAATTACCTGGCATCAGCACAAACCCAGGCTGCTTCCTTCTCGGTCTTTTATGCTTCCTCTTCCCATGAGCAAGGCTTTCTGGAAATGTTCGTTTATGGAGGGTGCTAAGGGTCTTTCAAATACGGTCAAGGGTGGGCTACACCAGTGCTTTGGCAGAATCCTGATGCACTTCTCTCGTGGCTCTCTGCAAGCTGTTTGCAGAAGCAGGCATCAAGTCCCAGGAGAGTCCGTCTTTCTCAGAGCTCTGGGAACGTCACCAGAAACACGGCTTGACCCCATTTCTGACTCAGAAGCTTCCTCTGCAAGCTGGAATGAGACAGCGCCAAGACAGCTGCAAAGAAAGAAAAAAAAAAAAAGAAGGAAAACTCACCCTTTCAAAAATAAACATCTACTTAAATGAAAGTTAATCAAGAGGTTGAGTTTGGACAAAGATTTGGATTTCTGCGTAGTAAGAGCAACATGATTGCCCGATGTGACCAGCAAATGGTAGCTCAGTGCCAAGTCGCCTTGTGATGAAATCCGCCATCATGGGCTGGTCGCCTCTGAGGAGCAGGTTAGTGCCGGTCACATCCAGACTCTGGTTTCGCTTTAGGACTTCACTTGGGTGACAATAAAGCAGCCCATGCTGGGGCCAGGTGAAATCTAAACTGCATTTCATCTTTGTTCAGATCTTAAAATCTAATAAAAAGCTAATTCTTACAGTACATACTATTTCCACTGATTACACAGGCACTGCATGATTAGAACAGAAATGTGGAAAATTTAATAAGGCATTAAAAGGAAAGAAAGCCATCAAGCGTCTGACTGTCCAGAAATAATGATTATAAAAATTAAAATACTTTCATCCAGATGTAGACATTTAGATTTTCTACCATTAGAGAATAGCTTTGTGTATATGTATATGTTATAAACACTACACATTATATAATCTTGTTTCCAATTTAAATGAGCTTATTAAAATTATTTTAAAACGTAACATTTAGTGTTGTGCTTTCCATAAAAGCTGAAGGTAGAACACTTGCTTAACATATGCCAAAACTGCTTTCCATCCCTGGGCTACAGAAAGAAAAAAAATTATTTAGATTTTCTGTAAACTGTTTCCCTGTATGATAATCATAATGGCAATTCCATGTAACACTTAATGAGTACCCACAATGTGGTGCCATGCAGTATTCTAAGTGCTTTATGTATATGTGCTAAATTCATGAGTCACAAGAAAGCTTAATCTGCATATGGAGAAACTGAGGCAGAAGTATAGATGACTTGACTAATGACTCACAGCTGGAAATAAGTGAACCCAATATTTAATAAAAGGCTCAGACTACAGAACTCACATCCACTCTGTTTTCTATTTTATTTATTTATATTAAACCCATGATTCCCTAAGGCATGGTGTTACACACCTGTAATCCCAGCACTGTGACTCGGAGGATTACAAAATGACAAGTCTGAGCACAGCCTGGGCAATTTAGGGACTAGCAAGACTTTGTCTCAAAAATACTAAGTAAACGTACAAGAAGGGCTAAGGATTTAACTCATTCTGAAGGCCCTGAGTTCATTCGCTAGTTCCATGGTGGTTAGGGTGGGGGGCAATTTTATCATGTAATAACTGTCCTCCAATCCCGGTGCTTTGGGGAGCTAGCATGCATTTAATAAATAATCATTGGGTTTCTACACTATGCTGGATCCTGTGGCACTTATTGAGAAATTGCATAGTTAAAGGAACTACAGTTCCAATTCACCCATAAATATTGAAGAGCAATTTACTGAGTACCAGTTGTGAGAGAAATAGCAGGTTCTAGAGAAATATTTGGTTACTTTTCTTGTTGCTCAGACAAAATACACAATGCCCAAAGTTAAAGGAGGAAAGTTTTATTTGGGTCAGTTTGTCGAGGATTTAGTCTACAGTCAGCTGGCTCCAAGGCAGGGTGGCATGGCTGAGGGGCACTGCAGAGGAGAAACAGTCCATGGCAGGGCAGGACAATCAGATGACACCAAGTAGCAAGCAACTGTGAGCTGATATAAACCTTTCCTCCTTTAGCTTGTGGTTGTCAGATATTTCGTCTCAGCAAGAAGAAAGTAACTAAGACAGATTAGATGCTTGTCTAATCTGCGAGTGCAGAAGGCTTGGTGCTGATGGACTTCAGGAAGTGACTGGACCAGGAGAGCTCTCACTCCATCAGTGGAGTGACCCATCGATGATGTCCTAACTAGGTGGTATCATTTGGAAATGATAGAAGCAAGATATATGGCCTACTTGAAGGGAGTGGATCTTAGAGGACTACATCCAGTCCCTACTTCCTTCCTGTCATGCCCTGGCTTTTTCAATTCCTCTCATTTCTCTGTTTCATGATTTCCACAAAGTAAGCAGCCTTCCTCCAGCACATTCTTCTGCTCTGATATTTCAGCCTTCCATAAGCCTAACCCAGTGGAGCTTTATGACCACAGAACTGAGACTTCTGTCACCATGAGCCAGAATAAACCTTCTCTCCTTTAGGATAATTTTCGCAGGTGTTTTGTCACAGCAACCAAAACATTACTTATACGCAGCAATTTTTTAAAAGCTTTGATGATGAATAGCTTTAAGGAACACAAAGTAGTATTAACTGTTCTTACTGAGCTCTTAGAGGAGCAGCAAATGTTGCTTTATTATTCACAAGTCACAAAAATTCAGAAACATTTTCCATAGAACTTTTCCCTCCCCTCAGCTCATATCCCATAATAGTGGCTCTGTTCACCCAAATACCTTGGCTTCAAAGAAACGCCAAGGTTACACCGCCAACACATTCATATTTGTGTCTCCCTTGTACCCCTGTAATGACCAGTATCACTTTAAGGGACCGTATTCTTGACCGTGGGTTTTTACTACCCTGGAAGCACAAAATATCACCATGATTCTTCTTTTCAAGAAGATACACTTTTGTCAACAAACAAAATTGGCTTCCACTGTTAAATTATTGACTCTATTCGCCAACTTTTTATATTTTCAAATCCTGTAGCTCATAGCTCCAATTGAAATATCTAGTCCCCGGGGTAGCTTTTTTCTAAAACTATTCCAATCTCTCAATAACTGCCACAGTTCCAATCTTCCCTTGAGTTGAAACTGAGTGGACTGATGAGTGCTCATTACTGCACATGAGCCCAGCACCCTGGAAGTCATGGGGAATGTGTACTAGTGACCCTTTCCAGGACTGCTGAGAACTCTGCTTTACCTCCCCACCCATCGGCAGAAGACTCTAACATATTACCCCTTCGCATACAGCCAGATTCATCACAGTGTTGCATTCAAAAGAGATAAAACCAATGTTAATTAAACAATGAATCAGAAGTTAAAATAACATCTTCACGCCACTGGTTTTTAGACAAAACACAGCAAACAGAATACAGAAGCATAAGAGAAATAGTAAGAACTCCCAAGGCCATACCCTCGCCCTAAATCTGCCCTCCCCCTGAGCCTCTGAGGACTGAGTTTTATCCCAAGTCCCTTAAATTGCCTTGAAATCTGGCCTCATTCCTCCTTCCTGAATCAATAAGATAATTTTTGTTTCCAAACTTAAAATAGCATCGAGGATAGTCATGATTTTAAAAGAATAACGTCTCATCATGAAAAGTTAAAACTATAAAACTATAGCTAAGTATAAAAATAGCATCACCATGAAGAGATGACCACTGTTAATTCAGATGCTCCGTTCGAGCCCCATTTTATATGTATGCATATAAGTATCCATATGTTATTTTTTACTTCAAATATCTTTCCACGTTAATAATGTGTATACACTGCCATTGTATTCTTTAATTTAAACTCTCCTAAAGTCAGAAGACGTACAGTCACAGAGTGATGATGTAACTTTATCAGGGTCCTTTATTCAGTTAGTAAGGTTCAATCTTAATCCTGTTACAGTTTATATCTAGGTATTCCCCCAAAGCCTCATGTGCTCATAGGTGGGATTTGGGGGTAATGATTGGATCGTGGAGGTATGATGTTCATCTGCAAATTAGACACTGATGAGTTCATAGCAAAATGTGATTTGGGAGGGGAAGCCTGCTCTAAGGAGGTAGGCCATTGAGGGTGTGGTATGGAAAGGTGTATCCTTCCCCTACATCTCTTGATCTCTCTTTCTTTCTTGTTCGCCATGTGTTAAGCAGCCCTTCTCTGCCATTCCCCCCCTGCCATGTCACCCTGCCTTAGTAGTAGACCAGGATAAGCTAAAACAGGAGCCAAAATAAACTTCTTCTTTAAGTTGTAGGTGTCAGGTATTGTGTCTCAGCAACAAGAAAGTAACTAAACCAAATGCATTGACTGATGTTTATATGAGTACCCGTTTTGTGCTTCTTCATCAGTGTAAAGAACAATTTATACAGAGTAATGTTTCTACTTTTAAGAGGATTTATGGGATGTGATCTTGTAGTGATGGATCTTCAGCTTTTTGGGCCATCTTTGTCAAATTGTGCTATCAGGAAAATACTGAATTCGCTAATGGAATGGGAAAGTGTTATCTCTTCTTACGTATTTTGAAAGGGTTTATGAAAGATCGATGCTAATTTTACTTTAAATATTTGGCAGAATTCACTATTGAAATCATGTAGACCTAGGTTTTGTTTTGTGTGAAAATTTTTATTACTAATTTACTTTCTTAACTTTTATGTTTTTATTCATATTTTCTACTTCATGATTCATTTTTTTTAAACTTTTGTTTCTAGAAATGTGTGCACATTACCTAGCTTATCTAATTGTTGCCATACAATGATTCATAATATTCCCTCTTTGTTCTCCAACATTGGTAGTGAGGTTTCTTCATTCATTCTTGATTTTACTGAAAAATCTCTCTTTCTCTCTCTCTCTCTCTCTCTCTCTCTCTCTCTCTCTCTCTCTTCCCCATACACCCTTATGTCTCTTCCTTTCTGTCTTAAAGGTTTGTTAATTTTTCTAATCTTTCAAAGAACCAACATTTAATTTTGTATTTTGCTACTATATTCCCCTGACAATAAGATCTAACTGGAAAACAAATGCCAATGCCAATCAGCCTACCCTTGACTTGACTACTATTACAGAGTAGCCATTGAGCAAGAGAATTGTGAGGTACAATCTTCGGCATTACACTGACCATCACCATGGTAATAAGCAGCTGAGGCTGGTTCCAGTTAGGTCATTCCAATTAGGTCTTATTTGGGAGGAAACATAGTACATAATTTTATTAATTAATAATTCATTACCTCCTTAATTTAGTCATAGTTTTTGTTATTTTCTGCATTTTGTTTTGATGCAGAGTGCTTTCATAAATAAACGAAATCTACAAAATGTTAGGAAAATGTAAAATGACTTCTTCTGTCTCTTAACAGCAATCAGCTTTGTTTAGTTCAATATTAACAGACCTCAGAGGCATTGACCATGAAGTGGGACATCTGGCCTCATCCCTAACCTTGAACACCCCCTTCCTGTGCACTAGAATAGATAGCTAGACAAATCTTAAGGTAAACTCCCCAACTGCAAAGAACTATTATGTCTGGGTTACAGTGAACTGTCTGGTTACTGTAATTTGTACACAGGTAATGTGAACTGAGGAAATGAAATGTAACCAACTGAATGAGGTCATGGCTGTGAAACCTATAAAAGGGGAGCTGCAGCCCAATAGGTGGTCGATCACCTGCACTGCCTTTTTGATTACGAGTGACCCTTTTCTGACAAAATAAACTTTTTATTT